GCTCAGGCCGCCGTCACTCGGACTGTTTTGGGGGGCACCTGACGAATATCCGCTCCTCCGCTAGTGCGGGATCTGACGGGTCTCTGTGCTGCGGCTCGGTGCTGTCACCGCGGTTCTCTGTTGGTCGATTAGGATGGCAACGGTTTCGCCCGGGTTTGACATGAGGAAACGGTTTGAGGCGGGCGGCGGCAGGTCGGTGCCCGAACCGGACCCGGGACTGTGGGAAGTGATTTTTTTGTTCGTGGGGCTCATCGCTTCTGCTTCGTGGACCGGATTGCCGCCTGCTGGCCGAATCGGGTACCGCAAGGCGTGACCGCGCGGGCGCCGCGATGTGATCCGACCGGGTGTTGCTCCTGGCCACCGTGGGTCTTGGAGCCCCTATCCGTGCGGATTAGGCAGATTACTTACCACGTGGGACATTACAGTGCACAGGATGTTGGTGGTAGGTTTTCATTTTCAGTTTTCAAATTTTTTACAGTCACTCACTGTTTTTCTCCATAGGAAAACGGTCATGTGAAAAGCAATGGTGATGTCGCAGCTGAACCAGTCCCTGCCGCCAATGGTGACAGCCCTGCAGAGGAGGCGGCGGCGACCCCTGGGGATGCCATCAAGCTGGCCCCATCTGCAGAGGGGGACACTGCGAAGCCCCAGGCCAGCGGCACCTCAAAGAAGAAGAAGAAGAAGTTTACCTTGAAGACACATTCAAGTTCACCCTGACCAAGAAGAGCAAAGAGTCAACTGCCGCATCGGAGGAGCACGTGGCCCCAGGGCACGAGGCCCCCACAGATTCCTCTCCAGAGTCCAAGACCCCCGCAGACCCCACCCCAGAGTCCGAGACCACAGCAGACCCGACCCCGGGGCCCAAGGCCCCCGCAGACCCCACCCCAGAGTCTGAGACCACAACAGACCTGGCCCCGGGGCCCAAGACCCCCGCAGACCCCACCCCAGAGTCCGAGACCACAGCAGACCCGACCCCGGGGCCCAAGAACCCCACAGACCCCACCCCAGAGTCCGAGACCACAGCAGACCCAACCCTGGAGCCTGAGACCCCTGCAGACCCCGCCCTTTTACATCTTAAAACACTTTTACATCTTAATCTGCATTCCCTCTTTTGAGGAGGTTTGTGCTTTGTGCCAAGCAACATTTTATAGATATTGGCCATAATATTTCTTTACATGCATTGCTTTCTTTATTGATAGCACATCTAAGTTGCGAGTCTGTTGAGGCAGATGCCATTTATGAAATGTAAACCTCGGTCAGCGTTTTGTTTGTATATTCATGTTGCTGGTTTCAGCTTCATTTCACCAATAATGAGTTTGCTGTAATGATGCAGAGTGGTAATAAATGTCAGATCTCCAGTCTACAGCGTGAGCTGTCTGTCTTCCTGTGGGGGGCATGGCCATGGGCTGTGGGGGCGGCCGAGGGCTGGTCTCCTTCACCCCTCCCTCTCTCCCTCCCAGTTCTGCGGCACCCCACCCATTCTTTTAACCCATTTGCACCTCCCGTGTGATGTTCCTAGTGGCTTGTCTCGCCGCTGGGCCGCTCAGTCTTACCCAGCCTGAGCTCTATAACCAAGGTGAATGTGCTAAGGCCCACCAGCTGGTGTCGCTGTTCACACCTGCAGCTGTTCACAGTGACTTTATCATGTCTTCATGTAGGTGTGCAATCAAAGTTCCACCTTACAAATGTATTATGCGTAAAACAAAAAAAAAATCTCATACTGCCATTAAAAATGTTCTGTTGTCGTTAATTTAATGAAAGTACTAATTTCAAAGAGGTGTTATACAGACTACAACAGCATGGGGGCGCTGTTGCCTCATATCTGCTGTGTGGCATTTTCATGTTCCTCCAGTGTTCCTCCTGACGGCCAGCAGGTAACTGTATACGAGTGTTTGGCGGGTGGCTGATGGAAGTGTCTGTACTGGTTTGTGTGGCTTAGTGGGCTAAGTGTCTGTGCTTGTGATCAGAAGGTCATGGGATCAAGCCCAGCTTTGGCTTGCCTGTG